CCCACATCAACGTCTACGCCTGCCTCGTCTGCGGGAAGTACTTCCAGGGTGAGTCCCCCTGGGGAGTGGGGTGCTGCTGAGGGGACATGGCAGGGACACCCAGGGCTGGGGTGCTGCTGGGGGGGGCACAGGGATACCCAGGGACCAGATGTTGCCTGGGGAGAGGCACGGGAATGCTTGGGGTGGGCAGAAGCAGCCTCCAGATGCAGGTGGGAAAGCCCTTCTGTCCCATCTCCACCGACTCCTGGGTTTCCCATCCTCCCTCTCTCCTCTCTGAGGACTTGAGGCTCCCCCCAACCCCACCACCTCCTTCTCGTGCCCCTCCCATGCCCCCCCTGCCCTGACACACTTTCCCCTCTTCCCCACAGGCCGCGGGCTGAAGTCTCACGCCTACATCCACAGCGTCCAGTTCAGCCACCATGTCTTCCTCAACCTCCACACCCTCAAGTTTTACTGCCTCCCCGACAACTACGAGATCATCGACTCCTCGCTGGAGGACATCACGGTGCGGCAGGAGGGCTGAGCTGCCCTGGGAGGGGGTTCAGCTTCGTGTGCCCCCCTTCTTTTCCGACGCCGTTTCTCTCCCACAGTACGTGCTGAAGCCCACCTTCACCGCGCAGCAGATCACCAACTTGGACAAGCAGGCCAAGCTCTCCCGTGCCTATGATGGCACCACGTACCTGCCCGGCATCGTGGGGCTCAACAACATCAAAGCCAACGATTACGCCAACGCCGTCCTCCAGGTATCACCAGGTGGGGGGCTCCAGGCTTCATTTTTGGGGTGAAACCCCACCCCGAGGCTGGCAGGGATGCTTCCTGGCTTCTCTCCCACAGGCTTTATCCAACGTGCCGCCACTGAGGAATTATTTTTTGGAGGAGGAGAACTATAAGAGCATCCAGCGTCCGCCCGGGGACATCATGTTCCTGCTGGTGCAGCGTTTTGGGGAGCTGATGCGGAAACTCTGGAACCCCCGGAACTTCAAAGCGCACGTTTCGCCCCATGAGATGCTGCAGGCTGTGGTCCTCTGCAGCAAGAAGAACTTCCAGATCACCAAGCAAGGTGAGGAGCAGGGTGGGATGGTGGGGGGGGACTCTGGATCCAGCCGCCTGCCCCAGTTCTGATGTACTCTCTGGTTGGTAGGGGACGGGGTGGACTTTCTCTCCTGGTTCCTGAACGCTCTACACTCGGCCCTGGGTGGCACGAAGAAGAAGAAGAAGAGTGAGTGGAGGGTGATGAAGGCTCCTTATTCCTTTGGGGCACCCTCGTGTCACCCCTGGTCTCCCCCCAACGTCTTTCTGTCCCCGCAGCCATTGTCACCGACGTTTTCCAGGGCTCTATGCGCATCTTCACCAAAAAACTGCCTCACCCGGATCTGGTGAGTACATGGAAAGGCAAAGGGGGGTGGTTCTTGCCCCCGTGGGGGTCTGCAAGCCCCCAGCTGAGCCCCGTGTCTCGCAGCCAGCCGAGGAGAAGGCGCAGCTCCTGCAGAACACCGAGTACCAGGAGATGATGGTGGAATCCACCTTCATGTACCTGACGTTGGACCTTCCCACCGCCCCGCTCTACAAGGACGAGAAGGAGCAGCTCATCATCCCCCAGGTGCCCCTCTTCAGCATCTTGGCCAAATTCAACGGCGCCACCGAGAAGGAGTACAAAACCTACAAGGAGAACTTTCTCAAGCGCTTCCAGCTCACCAGGCTGCCTCCCTACCTCATCTTCTGCATCAAGCGCTTCACCAAGAACAACTTCTTTGTCGAGAAGAACCCCACCATCGTCAACTTCCCCATCACGTGAGCAGTGAACACTTGGGGTTTCTCTCTCCCTTTCCCTGCACCCTGTTGTGGGTTTGGAAGCATCTGGAGGGGCTTTGGGAGCACCTGGGGGGGTGGGGTGGGTTTGGAATCATCTGGAGCAGGTTTGGAAGCATCTAAAGGTGGTTTGGAAACATCTCGGACGAGTTTGGAAGCAGTTGGGGAGGGTTTGGAAGCATCTAGGAGAGGGGGGCTGGGAGCATCTGTGGGGATTTGGAAGCGTCTGAGGAGGGTTTAGAAGCATTTAGGAGGGTTTGGAAGCATCTGCAGGGGGATTGGGAGCATCTAAGGGGGGGTTGGAATCATCTCATCTTCTGGGGAGGTCTGTGGGTAGTGTAGGGGTTCCGTTGGGGTTTGGGTGCCGGTGACACCCAGCTGAGGGGTGTGGGGTGCTCCGGGGTGTCCCCCAGGAACGTGGACCTGCGGGAGTACCTGTCGGAGGAGGTGCAGGCGGCGCACGCCAACACCACCTACGACCTCATCGCCAACATCGTGCACGACGGGAAACCCTCCGAGGGCTCCTACCGCATCCACGTGCTGCACCACGTGAGTGTCACTTGTCCCTGGGGGTTGCTGATTACGGACACTAATTAAACTCGGACACCGGAGTGAGAAGAGTAGGTGTATTTTACTGGGGGTAGAAAACACGTAGTAAGAGAAGATGGAACAACGCACTTAAAGC